ATATATATATGTATATATATATATATATATATAGTATATAAAAGATTTTGTGCAAATCAGGTGTGCAATTTCAACGTTAACTTTAGTTTTCTCTCATATACTGTACAGTCTCCTTATATTGGACCTTTCCAATTTTAGTAACTTTCCTCTTCCCCACCACCACAGATGTATTGTCCATTCTGCGGATCTGCACTGATAGAGTCTCCTGCATTTTGTTGTCTGTGTGGCAGAAACATCAGTTTTTTAAATGATCTGCCAAACAAAGTCCGGAGCCAAAGTAGCAGGATGCTCTGCAACGTTCTCCTAGATCAGGGCATCATGCCGGGAGTCGGCAACATCATTAAAAATGAAGCCCTGTTTGACTCAGGCCTCCAGCCAACCGTGAAGGTATGGAAAAGATGATGGATTGTGTTCAGCAGAGGACCAAAAAACAAAAAGGGGGAGGTGAAAATGCAAGACAACTCTCACAGACAAAGTTGTATTACTGAGTGATGCATTGCAATGAGCAGGGTAAAATAGGGAAAAGCCAAACAAGCACATTGCAGCGGATATGCCTTTCCCTCAGAGCAGTTTGGAAATGGAAATGTTTTTCATTTATTTATACGAATGTATATAGTCTTTGTGTAGACTCAAATAAGGTTTTTCCCTCTGATTTATAACGTGCATTAAAAAAATGCAAGACTCAGATATTTTCTATTCCTGATCTGGAAATCACTCACTATGTGAATGATCCAGTGCTTCACATTCCTCTCAAGGAATATTTTTATTAAGCAAACTATATAATAAAAATGTGATTTTTAAGAGTAACCTATCCTGAAAGTAAGAGACACTCTGCAGCATGAATACTTTTATTCCTCAACTATTACCAGGGGCTCTGCTCTGCTCCCCTTAGAAAGTATAAGATAGGGTACAAGAATATATCACACTGGACCAAAACATTAATCTACGACTTTTTGGCCTCTTCTCCTTCTGGGACCACTGAATCTTTATGAGCTTCTCCTCTATTATTGAGCCCGCAGGTGTCCTGAAGGGGCTACAGGTGTGATTTTTTTTTTTTTTTTTTTTTAAACACTGTCTGAATCACAGGCAGGTCCTTGTGGTCTCGGCTCTCTAGGGAATACCTTTTATGTAATTTTTCTCTGTTGTATCATTTTAAATCCAGTTTTCACTTTTGTGTTTTTATTGTTTATGTGCTTGTATTATTGATTTGCTGACTGTGAAGCGTTTTTTTGTCTCTGTTTTGAAATGAAGGGCTAATTAGATTTATTCGCTCTCTGGCTGAACTGTAACTAACTGTGCTGCTTCCATCTCAGGTTCAGGCTGACTGACGAGCAGATTCGCCATTTGGTGAAGATGACGCGTGATTTTACCCTTCTGTTTTATAAGGTTAGAAGTGTAGATCAGTAGAAACACTTTCTGCCGATTTATTATTGACCTCGTGACAGACAGAAAGGTGTCAAATTAAAGGAAAAACCTACATAAATGAGTGGCCTCTTCCAGGATGACAATGCCCCACATCCACAAGGGGTCACTGAATCGTCTGAGTATGATAGTGATGTGCTTCTGCTTTCGCAGTCACCACATTTCTTTGTTGGTTTTTTCCTTTCACTTGTCGCTCGTCTGTATGTAGCTGACACCTCACTCAGACTGGCTTTCAATAATGGATTTACTTTAAATCCTGTACTGCTGAGGAAGGAGAAGAGAGTCGATGCTCCACTGCCTAGAGAATATTCCTTTACCTCCATACATAACAGACAAGGAAGAGAAGGTGAATGATTTTCTTGTTCTCTTTATCCTCATCTCTTTATTCACTGTGTCTGACTCCTCATCTCTATTAGTGTCGCAAATCTGGCGCTTCTCTCTACAAACATTACAAAGTCTACAGGCGTCCCCAGTGTGGCCAGTGCTCTCATGCCACAGTCTGTCATCTTGGAGACAACGGCAGGAAGACTTACTTCTGCGAGCGCTGTCAGAAGGCCGATCCCAGTGAGGTTAACATCAGGTAGAAATGGTCACAGACCTTTGGCACTGTGAAAAGATTCTTGTAAGGATGGTTTCATTGAAGGTTGGATACCAGTAATGTTTAAGATAAGAATATAAGAACATTTTTTCTGATTTTTCAGTTGACATTAAAGTTAGGATTTTAGGGACCATAACTCTGTATATGTTCAGTTTCTTTTCTTTACAGAAATATTCAAATGACAGGATAAAACCTAAAATCTGCTGTACCATTTAAAAGTTTTCATTTGAATCCTTAAAACATTTTGTATTTAAAAATGTAACGCTACAAAAACCCAGCATGATAAAGATATGTAGTTTTTCAAAATCTTATCTTTGCAGAAAGTTCTAAAGCCTTTTAGATAATACGTTCAAATTTAGAGAGGCCATCTTTGCAGGCAGATGGCTTTGGCAGGGAGTGGGAAGTGTTATGGGGGGAAATTAATGCGCATATAAGTCCGTGTTTGCCAGGCAGGGCACAGGCTCAACACCTCCTGGGTTGTGTTTGAGCAAAGCTTTGCAAGGGGTTAGAGCCTAAAGCCCTTACAATGCATTACACAGCTGATAAAGCAATCTGTGAGGAAAGTTTCCTGAAAGCCACTGCTACTTTCCTCCTCCATGACTGTTGGCAGTGAATATTTACATTCTTGTTAAACATAGTCAAGCCTCTTGTCAGAGCACTAACACGTATGCTTGGAGCAATTACATGATTGCCTTCTCGCATATCTTAAACTGCATATGCTTGTGTAGTTAAAGTTTTCTCTTTGCTTATGTTTTCTGTAATCAGGCTACAATAATGTTGAATAATTAGTTTATTTCTCAATTTGCATTTACAGTTCCTATGACTGTTTGCCACTAATATAAATAATCAAGGCCATTTCCATATAAATGTTTCCTTGCAAATAATTATGTAGGTGTTTCCCAGCAAAACGCCTGAGCTGTACATTTCCCTGTATGGAAGAATTGTTTTAAAAAATAGAAATATACTAACTTGGCAGATTATTAGATACACCTAGATAAAACCTAATACAACCGTCCTGCAGTAACTCCTCCCTTCATGATGGTTATAATGTTCAGTTTTTGTTTGTGCCTAATTTTGGAGGCTTTTAGTTTGTGGTGCTGAATTGCATTGTGTTATACTGAGAGGTGTTTCTTGTAATTAGTCTACCTGCATTGATACAATTACAGTGGACAAAATATCAGAAAATGAAAAAAAATGATCTAAATATTTAGTCTAGTCTCACTGATAAGTACAAGCGTCATCATTTTTAAATAATATACTAAATGTGTGTCTGTGTAAACACAAAAAGGGACATGAGTTCTGTTTTTATGCAGTAAAATAATTTCTGCTTCAGTGAATGCTTCATTCATTAGTAAGCCTGTTTTAGCAACAAAGGGATATTAGAATCACTGGTGTTGTTTCTTTACCCAGTGAGCTTCCAGGCAGAAACAGCCTGATTGGCTGGGCATACAATAAGAGAACCAATGATAATGTGGCTAAGAAGGAGGAAGAGGACTGGGCCTGTCAGCTCTGCACACTCATCAACCAGCCAGGAGCAAAAGCCTGTGATGCCTGCCTCACTCCAAGACCTGAGGGTGAGTGGAAAGTTCTGGCTTCACAGACACTGAATTTAATGAGGTGACAGGATGTATTTGTTAGCAGATGAAATAACAGTAGCTGTAGTTTTTCTGTTTAGCAGAATGATCCCAGCTACAGTTGAGGCTTGAGTACTTTGGAGCAAGGCGCCCAAGTTGTGGAAGTGACAGTGCAGTCAAGCAAGCTGCCTTCTCTCTGCCTAGCCGTGTGATACTGTGCAGCTAATGAATCTGTCAGTCAGTTGGCCATTTTTCTCTGACCCCTGAAATACATAATAGCAGCAGTGAACAAGTGTTTGAAAGACATGTCCTTGCTATCTGTCTGTTTCAACCACCATACCACAGTTGAATTACTTTGTATTTTTTGTATGATCTTAACATTTTTTTGAGATCATACCGTCACAGCTCAATAATTGTATGAGTATCACTTCAGTTTGCCCATAGCTCACTTGGTTATAATGAGCTTTCCAAGCGTGGATAAATAGCTGACTGTTCTATCATAGTTATATCTCCAGGGAAAGTTGCTTTTTTCACTAATAACCTGATTTGCATTTGTACAGTTATATTTACATCTTCTGCTGTTGACCACTGTGCAGCTCCATTAAAACAGCTGGGGGTTAAGTGCCTTGCTCAAGGGCACATTAATGATAGTTGTTCAAAGATACTTGTTCACAGCCTCCCGTTAATGACTCATGTCGGGCGTCGTGGTTCAGCATTAATGAAAACATTTACTTATTCTCAAAGTCTTATTATATGGGGATGTGTTTCACAGAATCTTGGTTAAGGGTGTGACCTGCACAACAGATTGTATGGGATTTTAAAAAAAATCTTTTTTTGACTACACAGCACAGCAGCCTGCAGCTTACTGGTAAATGTAATAGTAAACCAAACACTTACAGCAAAGAACAGCCTGGATTTTCTGAGAGTAGCAAGTGCATCAGAAAAAGCTGCAGCTGCTGAACATGAAATGGGCTTCTGACTCTGGCCCTTTCTCCACAGTGCACAAAGCCGACATCAGCACCGAGGCGTCGCCCTTCACCGCTGATTTGATTAAGTACCCCTGCACTTCCTTCAAGAAGCCACAAGAGGAGCTCAAAGTCAACTGGAGGTCTGCATTTGGGACTTCCACCCTTGTTTTCTCTGACTTGAGCAAGAAACAAAAGTCTGTAAATTCCCCACCTTCCCCAGGTGGCAGACATTTGAATTCCTTAGTGGCAGAGCGAGGTTTATATAAATACAGCATCTGGCAAGGGACAACAAGCCCCAATTATGCCTCTGGTGGCTGGAAAAAGCAAAGTGCTGAGTTCTCCAATGGGGAATCACTGGCCTCCTACCGTCACCCATCCAAGAAAATGAGAATTGATCACAGTCCCTTTACCAGTAACAATGCTCAAAATGGAACCCTCAACTCAGGGTGAGTGAATCTCTTACTTGGCTATTCATGAATAAGTTTATAATAAGAGAAGTTCTGAGCAACTTCAGGAAGATAACTGGAATAAAAAGCATCTGACTATGGAATTTTTAATGCAACATGGTTGAAAAAAAAAATCAGATGGATGAATATACTGTATATGGTGGGACACCTTGCAGACGCAATTATTACCAACACACATCATCACACAGTTGAGAGGTTGTTTGCTCTCTAATAAGCGTCGATGTGACAGGTTTTTCTGTTTTTATATTCAGTTTTTTTTTTTTTTACTAATAAGATTGTTTCTTCTTTTCTGTCAGTACTTGCAAAATAGGAGCGACAAGCAGCGACTCCTCCATTTCTTCCTTTCCCAGTGTCCCTTGTTGTGCATCCCATCGTCATCCAGCTGTGCTCAGAGTAGTGCACAAGGAGGGGGAGAATAAGGGACGACAGTTCTACGGCTGCTCACTTCCCAGAGAGACCAAGTGTAACTTCTTTGAGGTGAAAATGGAAAGCAGCTCATCTCTGTGGCATTGTGCAGCCTGGACAGAAAATAACTCGCTTATTTTAAAGTGTCTCCAGTTTTAGAGAATACGCAAACATTGTAATACGTTTGCCTCAAATCTAAATGACTGAAAACCAACAGTACTACTGTGTTAACAAAAGTTTATTTTCTCTGTTGCAGTGGGCAGACTTACACTTTCCTTTTTGTCACCATGGGAAACGCTGTTTAATGAGGACGGTTCTGAAAGCAGGACCCAACAACGGCCGGAATTTCTACACCTGCTGCTTTCAAAAGGGTAAACAGTGCGACTTTTTTCAGTGGGCAGAGAACGTACAGGGGGTACCTATCCTCCCTGGCTGTTAATGTGTTTTAGCAATGCATTACTTGAAAATGAAAGCCTGATGCCTATATGTTCATATAAAAATATGGACATAAAAAGGGACCTGGTAATTCATCTTCATGAAATACACATACTTTTACATTTAACTGTGGGTATCTAGCTCTTCAGCTGATGTCCAAGCACTTATTTGTATATAAATGTATCTAATGAAGTGCCTATTTACTTTGTAATGTGCCATATTGTGTTCATCTTTTAATGTATGTTTCAAAGTTGTCATGAGAAGATTGTGATCTAATAAAGAATCCAAACAAGTCAAAGCAACAACAATTAAACTTTAATGTAATTAAACTTTCACTTGTTGCTTTAAAGTGCCTTAGATTTG